CCCAAAAAAAAAAACCCTCACCAAAAAAACACCCAACAAGAATTCAGGTGTTTTTCTTTTTCATAGGAGCTAAAGCTCTTGCAGTTCAGTTATCTTTTCTCTTAAGAGAAAATTAATTATTCTAAAATGACTTGGTTCTTCTTGGATATCTCCCCCTTCCTGTATCATATTTAAGACTCTCACTCTTGCCTTAAGGGACTTTGGGCCCAACCCTGCAAGGTGTTTAGTGACTTTTCTTTGTGGGAGAGAAAGTAGTTAGAACCTCTTGAAAGTGTTTAGCACACTGCAGGGTCAGTAATCTGTTGCTGCCCTTTCTTTTCTCTTTAAATTCCTCCCAGCCTTTTATGCTACTTTTTCTCGCTTTCTTTGCATTGCATCATCTTTATAACATTAGGGAGATCCTACTAGACCCTTAAAGAGCCTTTCAACTTGTGCATGCACTGCTTCTCTATTAAAAAAAATCATTCTCACAATTAACTTCTGTTTATAATGGTTATTAGTGGTGAGCCCCAGTACAAGTAGTGTCTGCACTTACCGTACAGTTCAACCTTTGTCCTGTGTTTCATAGCAGAGCCTCAGGATTGAAGAAAGGCCATGCACTTACCTGAATTCAATTAAAAAATGTTGCTTAAGTATACTACACTTTCAATGCTGTGGTATTAGCAGCTCTTAAAATGACTAGTTCCCCTCATTATTCAAGGCTTCCAAGCAGCCCTTTCACAGCTGCTTCCCCTTTACTCTTCATCCAGTTAAATGGAATATATTTAATTACAAGATGGATACAATTACTGTGCAGTTAACCACAGGAGTTCAGTTAAGTTACGAAGTAGAAAGTGGGCCTGAAAAAATGCTTTGTATTTGAGTGGTTTATCTGGTTAACCAATATGCAGATAACCAGAGTTGGTTACAATGCAAGCCATAAGTATTAAACCTGGACTCGCAACATGTTAAGCATTATTGCCATGTATCAGGTAAGTGGAGAACTCCTGTACTGCAGCTTTTTATGCTGAAACTTCTTTATCTTGAATGCTGGATAAACTTGAGTAGTAAGTGGTCTTGCTGTTGTGTGTAAATTGATCCTAATGACAACTAAGTTAATTCTCGGAAGTAATAGGCTGTATGCACTTCGTCACCTTCTCTCTTGTTTACACTTATTGAAATTTTTTAAATTTTGCTCTCCTTCAGGATGCAGAAAACGCAATTGTGCACATGGGAGGCCAGTGGTTGGGAGGCCGTCAGATTAGAACTAACTGGGCAACACGAAAACCACCAGCACCTAAAAGTACACAAGAAAGTAAGACTTCATATGTTATCCTATTTTTTGCTCTTCAGTATATATGGACTTTTTAGTATCAACTATGTAACATTTTTGTTTAGGAGTAACCTAACAACCAAATTCACTTCATTCCTAATTCAAAATATTTGACGTTCAGCCCTTAAATAATAAAGGCCTCATGAATCAAGTCCACTGTAGGTTTTTTCCACTGGTTTTTTCCTTTGAAAATGTAGGATGCATATGCCAAATATATAATTCTGTACAAAATAATTGAAAACAGATTCGAGCCTTCTGTGTTTTTTTTCCTTCTAAATATAGATAGCACAAAACAACTGAGATTTGAAGATGTAGTAAATCAGTCAAGTCCAAAAAATTGTACTGTTTACTGTGGAGGAATTGCCTCTGGATTAACAGGTATTATTATTTCACTCATTTTTTGTTTTTTGTTCTTTTTGTGCACCAAAATAACTAATAAAACATTGCATCTATTGTAGATCAACTTATGAGACAAACATTTTCACCATTCGGACAGATCATGGAAATAAGAGTTTTTCCAGAGAAAGGTTACTCATTTGTCAGGTAAGGCTATTACTGAAAATGTAGTTACTGTTAATTTCTTACATGCATCATATCTTCAATATGTATTTGAAGATACTCCAAATACTGTCACTGTTGAAGTATATGTTCATAGGAAAATTTGGAGCTTTAAACATCTCATTATGCATTTGGATCTCAGAAGATGAAGGCCTATAAACTGTCATAGTTGAAACAAGCTATGTCCATTTACTGCGATGGTGGCTTTTAACGTTAAATTAAAACTTTGTCGGAGTAGTATGGGCTTCATTTCTGTTTGTCCTCTCTAGGTTTTCAACCCACGAAAGTGCTGCACATGCAATTGTTTCAGTTAATGGAACTACGATTGAAGGACATGTTGTTAAATGCTATTGGGGTAAAGAATCCCCTGACATGACTAAAAACTTCCAACAGGTAACTAAAATTTAACCTATTAGGAAAATTCGTTTAGTGTTTCACAGAAACAATGGAGTGTAAAAACTGATGTGTTCCTATAGATGACCCTCACTAGTTTGTGAATCATTCTGAATTAGATAGTAAAGTTCTTAGTGAAATCGCATGTTTAGTCATCTTTGTTTATGTAACCTAGTTGATCAGGTTGGGCTTGTGGTTTTGCTAAAATATCACGTCTGTATGACTCAAGTGTGGGAGTGACTTTGGGGGTAAAAAATCTAGTTGTTATAGTTATGAGGACTAGGTAAAGCTCCAGCTAACTAGTTTAATACTGCAACCTTAATTTTAATTCCAGTATTGCAGAAGCAATTTTTTTCCTTATTTTTCTGTTAAAACTAAAAAACTGATTTCAGCCAGGATAGTTAATTCCATAGGTTAAATATTTGATCTTGTCAGTAAACATATAACTTACGCTGTCCATAGAACCATAATTTTTTTTTTCCTTAGGTGGACTACAGTCAGTGGGGACAGTGGAGTCAAGTGTATGGAAATCATCCTCAGTATGGGCAATACATGGCTAACGGGTGGCAAGTACCATCATATGGAATGTATGGCCAAGCATGGAATCAACAGGGATTTGGAGTAGAGTAAGTAGTTATACATGTCTTGAAAGCTTGAAAAATATACTTCTAAAATACTTCTCTAGGAATTCTAGATCTGCAGTGCTCCCCACTTCAGACTTCTTAGCATCAGCACTGATCTTGGCTTAAGCTTTGCAAGCCAAGGTCTGTGTGTTGAGAAGTTTAAGTCTTCTGGAGAGAGTGCTGGAGCACTGAGACTTAAACTTCATTTAGTGTGCTGTGCACAAGAACTTTCCAAGATTAAAGGTGGCTTCTATTCTTGACTTTGTGACTATGCCAGAGCTTTCTGAAACTTGAGTTGGAAAACTTGAAGATGGACTTCTGGGCATTGAAAAAATCTGTAGCTTAGGGTATTTGTAAGGAATTGTAATGCTGTGTGATTCAGAACCACTTATTTGATCAGATGCTAACTGAGGGCTAACAGCTGTGTGTCTAACCTTTTTTTATATCCTTTACACAAGATTTATAAAATTGCAAGTTCAAATTGTCTTAATTGTATAACATCTTTACTGCAGTAGTGCTCAAAATATGGCCTGTGGGCCAGTTCCAGCCTACAGAGCTGGGTCATTCAGTCTGTGGGTCTCCCATGAGTCTAAAAGTTTGGCAGTGTGAATTGATGAGGTTCTTTGAGCTCTGCAGCAGTTGATGCTGCCCCTGCTCCAACACCACTACTTTTTTTGGACTTGTGGGGAACCCCATGGACTAGATAACGTGGCCCTGGCATGCAGCCCATTCATTCAGCACACTCTCCAGAAACATTAAGCACCATTGCTTTACAGGACTTGACAGTAGCATTTTCACCATGGACTTGCTAGCATTCTTCTTCCCACCAAAGCACTTAAATTATGCCCATCTTTTTTGTCTTATGGCTGATGTTGACAGGAATGTCATAGTTCTAGGAGAGTAGTGTTAACTCCTGCTACAAAATCAGTTAAGGTCACCTTTGCTATGTACCACTGTGTTTTTCTTCATGAAAAACTTCAGTTTATTGAAGTAGCTACAGGCTGACTGTTGTAGTGTTATTTCCATTTAAAATAAAACCATAGAAACTTCTGTAAGTTTGTAGAACAGCATGTAGGAGCTGCATCAGGCATTTATGTAATAGCTGCATTCCCTTGCTGTATAGGGAACTGTTGAATTAAATTTTTTTTTGATGCTATATCCTGTTGTAATTTTTCTCCTACTTAATAGGAAAAGTGCAGTATAAATTACTGACTTGGTAGCATTAAGTTGCACTGAAGGGGCTAACAGCTATTTAAAGGAATTGAATAATGACTCTTGAGTTAAACAAGGTTGCCAGGAAAACTTAGTTTTAACATGTAATGGGTAGGTAGGCCTGTGCAAATTGGGAAGTATTCGATTTGGATTCAGCCGATTCAGAGGACACTGACTCGATTCGGTGAGTCGAATCACTGTCCCCATTCAATTTGGCTGAATTGGAATCAGAGATTTGGTGCTGATTCGGATCGGCCGGGGAGAGGCAGGCACAGCCAGGCGGCTGCAGGTTGTCCCACAGCTCCTCCAGCTGTGCCTGCCTCTCCTCAGGTGGGGGGAGCTGCAAGAGAAGCCTCCATGGCTGCCCTGCCCGGCCCCACCCCCTGCCTGACCCCAGCCTAGTCCTGGCACTTAAAGTCCCACACTCACTGGGTGCCGCAGAGGTTGTGGGGGCTCTGGGGCATCCTGGCAGAGCCGCTGCCCCTGATGGCCCTCCTGACTGGCCCCAGCAGTCCAGGAATAAAAAAAAAAAAAAATCAAACCCAAAAAACAAAACCGTACCGCACTCACTGGCAGTGGGGACTCTGGGGCCACGTGGGAGAGCCCCCCTGCACAGTCACCACTCCCCAATCGCCCTACCCATCCCCAACATGCCAGCGATTTAAAGGGGAAAAAAAAGCCCTGCACTCACTGGCTGGAGCAGCAGTGATTGGGGCCTCTGGGTACTCGTGGCAGAACCCCCTTGCGCAGGGAGGCAGTGGGGATTGTCCCATCCTGTGAGGCACCTGCATAGCAGCTGCCTCATGCTCTGGATGCAGCGCACCTCAGCAGGGCACAGCACACTGTCGGGGAGCTGGGGCAGCTCCACGTCAGCTGGAGCCCGGCACCTCACGGCCCCAGCACCCTGCCAAGCCCTGCTGCACCCATGCCATGCTGCCCCGCTTTGCACGGGGTTAGGGGCACTGCCACGAGTGCCCAGAGGCCCCGTCTCCACTGCCAGAGCTGGTGAATGCAGGGCTTTTTTTTTTTTTTTTTAATTGCTGGAATGCTGGGACTGGGCAGTGGGGGAGTGCGGGGGTCTCTGCCACGTGGCCCCAGAGCCCCCGCAGCTGCTGATAGTGCTGGTGAGTGCATAGATTCATAGATGTTAGGGTCGGAAGGGACCTCAATAGATCATCGAGTCCGACCCCCTGCATAGGCAGGAAAAAGTGCTGGGTCTAGATGACCCCAGCTAGATGCTTATCTAACCTCCTCTTGAAGGCCCCCAGGGTAGGGGAGAGCACCCCCTCCCTTGGGAGCCTGTTCCAGACCTTGGCCACTCTAACTGTGAAGAAGTTCTTCCTAATGTCCAGTCTAAATGTGCTCTCTGCTAGCTTGTGGCCATTATTTCTTGTAACCCCCGGGGGCGCCTTGGTGAATAAAACCTCACCAATTCCCTTCTGTGCCCCCATGATGAACTTAACCTGCAGTGCAGGTTTTTTGTGTTTTGTTTGTTTTTTGATTCCTGGGCTGCCCGGGGGGGAGCATCAGGGGCAGGGCCGGGGAGGGAGCAGTGATCGGGGAGCAGGGGCTGTGCGAAGGGTCTCTGCCAGGATGCCTCAGAGCCTCCACAGCCCCTGCTGCAGCTGGTGAGTGCGGGGATTTTTTTTTTTTCTTCTAAAGTGCCGGGACTAGGCTGGGGCCAGGCAGGACTACCATGGGGGCTTCTTCCACAGCTCCCCCTGTCTAAGGGGAGGGCGGGGCGACA